TGCCAAGTAACTGACAGTAAACAAAGTTAATTCATTCCCATTAATAAGAGGTGACATTTATTACTGATACCTCCTGTTGCTTTTTGCTACAATTATATGATCCCTGTGCACTTGGATGATAGGCAGATAAGTAATTATTTTAGCCTAACAAATACACAAATTAGCAACTTCCCTGGCATGGGAGTCAACATGTTTGCAGAATTGGGATGGCAAGTCAAAACCCTTCTAGAAATCAGCACTATGGATTATTTTTCAAGCCTATATTTTGCAAGAGACTTGCAAGTGACAATTATGCTACCTGTGTAATCCCCCCATCCTATTACTGTTTATCACTATGTAAATGAGGCACTTTCACAAGTCTTTGCTTACTATGCATAACCTTGTTTACCTTGAAAATGCAAGTTTTCAAACCATTTAGAATTTATTTCCATGTGGGACCTGTGGCAGCAGATAAGGCAGGGAGTGGGCAGAACTAAAGAAGGGCATGGCTAACTGGCTACTGGGACCAAGTGGGCAGGCAGCAGTCCTCACCAGTAGTGGGCACTGCTGTGCAATTCATGGGTCCAGGCCCAGGTGCAGGCCCATCAGACTCAGTTTATCACTATTTCTAGACAGCGGCTATTTTCAGCTTCTATCAAGCCCTTTGCAGTTTGAGAGTTAATTAACTGAACATTTCCAGAGGGTTTTTCTTTCTTTGTCTTTTTATGAATTCTGGGGCATTTCTATTCTTTTTTAGAACTCACATGCAACATTATTTTATGTGTATAGATTAAGGGATGAGCAGAAAATACATTGGGATCTACTGGCTCAGGAAGAGTTTCTGCTTTCTAAATGCCTGACAAGAATCAAAGTACCTTCCCTCGCAAAGGACACTGTCCCATGCATGCTTAGGGGTACCTGCTTCCTTCATTGTAAGCATATGCCATCCCGCCTGAGCCTCTAGTTTGTGTCTGGCATTGACAGATCTTCATGTTCTAGGAAAACATGGAGGAGACACCACAACTTGAAGTTTGCCCACTCCCTGGATAAAAGGCATGGAAGAGGTTGCTAGATAGACTTTTTATTAATAGTTTTTCCAAAATGTGTAAAGATTTTCCCGATGAACTCTCCAATAGCCACATCTTAGAATGTTCACTCTTGTGCACATGAACTAGAATCTTTGCAAAACAGAATGCTGTTTGGAAGAGTCTTACCATTGAGATATTGTTTTTTAGAAGTTTGTCCTTTGGCTAGTTGGTTAATGCAATACTGTAACTTATTGGAGTTGATATGCAGTCTTATACAGAAGTTTCAGTGAACAGACATATAAAAGATTGCACTTTACTGGACAGACCTAACTATATTGGGAATTATCAAATTTCCTTGATAAATTTAGAATTATCAAATTTCCTTATGCTTTGTTCTCATAATGTATCTTGTTCTAAACTATCACAAAAGCTTATGTTACAATAAATTGTGTTTTGATACTATTTTATTGTGTGAAAATTTTGGTGTGGCTTTGATAATACTTTATCATAGGCTGGCTTTGTGTCTTCATGTCCTTTGCTTTGGTTAGTGTACCTCTAAATGGCATTCTTGGCTGCCATGTGGCCTATTTATTTATTTAAAGATTTACAGACCATCCTTCTACTGGCATCTCGGGACAGTTTACAACAAACATCAAGTAAAATAGGAATTTAAATGGCTTTCCCATTCCCTTCTGTGGCTTTTTGTTTTTCTGTAACCTACCCACTGTTAGCTTGAAAATATCGTGCCCACTGAGTTTTTGTTGGATTATGATGCCTCCTAATTATATTTTTTGGAGGTCTGTTTTTTTAAACACACACTTCCTTATTGAAGTCTCCATGACACACTTTTTCACCTCAGATCTAGATTATTTACTCTAGCCTTGATTCATTTACTCCAGTAAAATATGTTGGGGAAACACACAAGGGCATTACTGGAAGTAATCCTGAACAGTGGGCATCTACACCACTGATTGTCCTATGATATTTTGCATGTCCAATCTAACCACTGTTGGTTCCCTATATTTTTGTTTACAAAATTGCAACAAGCATAGCCTGCTATAATGAGCTGCACAATGAGGCTTTGTTATCATGCTTACATCTTTTTAAAAAATTAGCAAAAGGCTTAAGAATGTTTTATACTATACCTAGTCCTTTCCCAACATGTCTGACTCTCTCAATTTGTTTCAAGAAGTGGCCTATTCAATGCACATACTGTGTTCAGAAAGTAAGAGCAGGGATCATATTCCAGTAATAAACTTATGTACACTGGCCTGAACAAAAGGAGAGGTAGTGAAGGCAATGCAATGCAAATAGACTCTTTAGTTGGTGCATTCATTGACCTTCTGTAACCTAGCAGCTTGCTGCGAACGGCCCCTGATCTGGTGGACCTGCATGTACACACAAGCACAGAAATGGACATTGAAAATTGTGTCCTCTGTATTGGTCTATCCCCTTGCTGAATTTCTGGAACCCTTGGAGATCTTGAAGATTATATGACCAAGAGACTCCAACCACAAACAACTACAATATAGTGGCACAAATCACTAGCAAGTTCTTATGTACAAACAGCATTGTAATTAGCAGGACCTGCAGAACACTCTCTTGAGTGTAACTCTGCAGGCAAATGTCACAGAGCCCTAAAGGACTCTCCCTGGACTCAGGCTGCCACACATCTACTGACAGATAAGGATTTATGGGCATCACTGGTTTGCTCCCTGCTGAGGTACCCAAATGGTTAAGGTGTACCTTGACAATGCACTGGACACCCAGAATTCACACCTATACAATCCTGACTTACCTTGACTCCTAAAACAAATCTGGAATGAAGTGCTCAAACCCTGTCCCACTGAAAATAAGATTGTTGCTAGATGGAATGAATATTGTGCCATTCACTTGCCTCATTCACTGAATTTTATGGGAGGTCAAGCTGCTATTCTCTTCCATATAGAATCTTCCAGTGCCTCCCTCCCTTTTTTGGTCTTTTCCTCCCCACAATCCATTACACAGGAAAAGACAGAATAGCTGCAAAGACATAGCTATTAGTCAAAACAATGAAATCTTGTAGCACCTTAAGAACTAATCCATTTATTGTAGCATCAGTTTTTGTGGACCACAGCAGACTTTATCAGATGAGGTAAATTCTAATTCATGAAAGCTAATTTTGTATTATTTTGTTAGACTTGGATCCTGAGTGGAACTGTATTTGATCAAGTGAGGCCTTGGCAGGTGGAAAAGGATAAAATGGTGTTTTTTGCCAATTCCCCTTCTCCTGCAGATATTCACATCATCTTTCATGTTGTTCCAGAGGATCTCCCAACCCTATGGAAGAGGTTTTTCCAGGGGAGCATAAGGGGATTAGGGGGAAAAAGCCTTCCGCCCCTTTCATCTCTTGAAGGACCCTGTGAGAAGAGTTCCACTTACGGGCTCTCAGGATACAACCCTACATCTTTTTAGTACCATAAGACTTTGCCGTAACAGACTAACACAACAGTCTCTCTGGAAATTTGTAATCAGAAACATATGGGCTGAGAGCAGTACATACACACAAAATGAGACTTTTGGGCACTGCCTGAATTATTTAAGAACTTGCTACAATTTGCACCCAAAGATTGCCATTCTAAGCACCAGCGATTTGGTCCTATTGAATTGGTAGGCCTTAAATTTGTGGAAACATGTTTTGGATTGGCCTGGGAATCAGGTATATGCAACATTCAGACTAACATACACACACTCCTTTCACACATATGCTTGGCCTAAATGGGGGCATTCACACCTGTCCTTCTGTCAACATGAGATGATGCTGGTAAGCTATTTTATTTCAGGAGCAGGAGGGGTGTGTTTTTTTCTTTCCATTTTCCACTGCATTGCAAGCCAAGAAATGCACATGAAGTTTCTGCTGGAGGCACCTTGCTCGTTCCTGCTGGCATATCTCAAGGTTTGAAAGCGTAAGTGCCACTACAGCAGGGCAGCTGAAGGGTATGGAGAAAGTACTAATCTGCATTAAGGCAACACAGTGCATAGTTACCTGGAAGAAACGGTGGGGGGGGGAGCTTCTGAGGAAACATGCAAAGGGGATGGTGCTGCTTCTGATATGAACTGGGCAATCCTAAGCATACTTACTCAGAAGTAAGTCCCAGTAACATAAAGCTCTAGGATGTAATCACAACTTTATCAAACGCAGATTCAGTTTTCCCTATTAGATCAAACGACACGTGCGTACATACACTTGGCTGTACCTCATGCTAATTCTTCCTACACTGAGGTCTGCGAGGGGAAAACGTACCGAATTTCCGTCTCGAAGGCGCGGGTAAGAAACTGGCTCACTTTACGTAAGAGCTTTTGGGAAAAAAGCTATAAAAACCTTTGGCTTTAGCAGAAATAGGGCGCGGGAGAAGAGGAACGCAAGAAGAGCCTCTGCTCGGAGGTTTCACACGCTAGAATATTTCTCCAACGTGATTTTTAAAAAATCAGCACACATTTCGAGGCGGGGCTGCACGGAACAGGAAAAGGAGGCGAGAAAGGTTGCAAAGATTCCCAAGAGGAAAGGGAGATGTGCAATCAACTGGCACACGCTCCTTCTTTTCAAAACGTGTTTCAAGGGGGGAGGTGGTGGTTTAGGAATTCTGCCTTTCGGGGGCGGGGGAAGGACGAGGGGAGACCCTACTTTAAGGCCTCCCTGTCACAACACAGAGAACGCGCCGAGGGAGGCAAGTGCCTCTTCTGCAGGGACACAGGCGAGGCGCCCCTTGCTGGATCGGGCCCTCCCAACGTCTCTCTCCTCAGCCCGTCGCTTCGCGGTGCAGGAGCGCCAGCCCTTCCCCTGTGCAAGCAGCGCTCCAGTTCCGCGTCCTCCACCCACCCGCCGACCCCGATTTCCTCTTCCCAGGCGCGGCCAGCAAATGGCATGCAGGCGTACGGCCCCCCGATCCGAGGCGGGCCTGGAAGGCGCGCTCTAGCCGCCCGGCCGGGCTGCCCCGCGGGCTGTTTACTCACCGCTCCTCGGGGGCCCAGGGCAATGAGCGGAGAAAGTAGACTATTTTTTTCGGTGCTTGGGCGCGCGATGGCATAAAAGCGCCGGACTCCTCCTCTTCGCCGCCTGCCCGCCTCCCTGCTTTCCCCGCCTTACTCCATGTGTGCTATCGACCTGCCTCCTTATCCAGGCCAGGCGCTGCCTGCACGTGGTAGATTGTGGTGTTGGGTAGCTCTCTGCAGTGATATCGGCCGCGGGCAGCACCTTGCCAGCCTCTCTTTGCAACGGAAAGCCAAGGGGACGTGGGTGGAGGCGGCGGGTCCTTTGGGCGCCACGATGGTCCTGTGCATAGGCCATAAGGGCAGGAGCCATGCACGTTCAGACTGGGAGGAAGCCCTATGGCTTGCAGCCGTCTCCCCTCAAAGTACTTCTTAGTCTTGGGTGGAGTAATTGCCATACAAAAGGGAGTCCTGCTTCATACACAGCAGTTTTCACTTTTGAAATTCTTTGCCACAGGCTGCAGCTTTAGGACCAAAACAGCCATGGTCCGGGTTTGGGCAACACCATAACTGGACATGTCTGAATCACAGCGAGATAGCAACCTATGGTTAAGAGCCTACAGTTCTCAATCCAGTAGCAAACCATGGATTTTGTTCATGGTTACTCATTCAGGCAACACAGTAACCCATTTGAACAGCAACTCTTAATTAAATGATGACCTACAGTCAGGAGTTGACTATGGGTATATCATTTTGTATGGATTGAGCCGCTACTTTGACCTCAAGTCTGTGGCTCGCTCGCTCTCTCTCTCTCTCTCTCTCTCTCTCTCTCTCTCTTTCTTTAAAGCTTTTCTAGCCTGTCCACTACTAGTGTCTTGGGACAACTTACAAAAAATAAGTAGAATAAAACCCCACCCCACTGCATCTTACTCTAGGTTCAGGGCATTCCATTTGGATCGTCAAAGCCTTTGTTACCCCCACCGTTTCGCATAGAGAGCCTACAGTAGATTAAAAATGAGAGGGAGGTAGCTGCTAGATGCAGATTTAAAGCCACAACTGATTTGGCTGTGTGATAGCTCTGAAAAGTGATTTGATAAATCCAGGAAACCAGTATTCAAACAGAATGGCTTCTGGATTCAGTGGAAGCTTTCTACTGATACCAGTTGATGGTTTACAGGGGAGCTTCCAGACAAGACTTTTATTGTACAATTGCCTTGCCTCATTGACAGAATTTTACTGGTGCATGTGTATCCAGATGACAATATTTATCATCTGTAAGCCCTCCCAGAGTTTTCTGCTACTTCTCTTGCTGGGCAAAAAATCACTGTTAGTGGTAGGAAGTCTACTCTTACTCAAGAAAGCATTGGGTTAGGACACAAAATGGTACCTTAGATAGCACATGTGCTATGTGTTGTCTGCTGAAACCAAAGCATTGAACCCAGTCTCTGAAGAGCAATGGCTGCTCTCTGGTTTTGGGGAGTGTACCATCTAGATATAGAAATGGTGGAAAGATCCAGGCTAGGCAACTGCATTTGTTGGGCTCCTCCGCCAATGGAAATGGTTTATTTATGAGATGTTACCCTGCTCCTTCTCAGGGCTTGTTCCATAGATGGTTTCTAGACAAGATCCAAGTGCTAATGTTTGGAAGTCGTGGTGTAGCAATTCCATCTTTTTGTACTAAATGGGTTTTCTGTGGTAAGAAAAACGATGGGAAAAGTGGTGGAAAAACACAAGGGTTCTGGGTGCAAAGTGCTGCTGCCCCCCCCCCCCCCCCGCCGGTGAAATTCTGGGAATTCTGTGGATTAGGGCAATGGCACAGTCAATCCTCGGATGGAAGCATCCCTGTTTAAGAAAGAGACAAAGCAGGAATGTGAAGCTTTCTAAAATGTTGTGGAGCAGTATTTAAACATGTGACCCACAGATTGAAGAGATGCAGTCCGGAGTAAATGTCTGCCATTTCATCCTCTGTGTGAGGTGTAAAACTGGTCCCTGTCACTAAAAGGAAGAAGGGTATCCAACACACATTGTCTGGCAATATTTTAAAAGAAACATACTCCACAGGATTGGAGGATCGGTTGTACTTGTGGACAAGCACTGTATTCACTGCATGGTCATAATACTCATACATAATTTTATTTTTTTCGGTGGGGGACCTTGAGAAGTTACCGAAGAAGTCATTGCCCATTCTTGCAGTCTAAGGACAGGTCCATACATGGAGTATAAAGGGGGCTGGGGTAGAATGAGTTAGATAATTTCAAGCTGAAAGTGGGACTTTCCATCTGTCAGCCTCTCTCTCTGGAAAAATCCCTCTGCAGGTAGAAAAATGGCACACCAAGGTGCAAACTGGGATTGAATTTTCCCTGGCATGTTAGCTCCCCCCACCCCCTCCCCATCTGCAGACTGGACTGGTAGGATGCATTCTTGCCCACCATTATGTGAGGACGAAACCCAAAGCTCAGAGCATTTTCGAGGGAAAAGATGGGGCACTTCCTCACCACAGAGCTGATTATATGAGAAATCCAGTTTGAAGAAACCCACAGAGAAAAAATAATGATAGGCTGATTATTTTGCCATCAGCACGCTGGGATGAGATAGCAGCAGCCTCTGCTCCGAGACAGGAGTCCGACACAGACTTTAATTTTCTATTAGCAAGGATGTTCACAGCTACAAAAATGTGGCCTCTCCTTATGGGAGGGTGTGAGGTTTTGTTACAGCTTCTCTGCATGCTATCAATAGCCAGCCACTTACAGCCCTAGAAGTGCCAAAGGGTGTAAAGGAAGATAATAGAATTTACCCTAGATAGACAGGGAGAAAGCTGATGTATTGCAAAGTTATGTAGCTAACTTGGCCCCTTGCAGCTCCACTCCATTAGCCCCCAAATGCATCGCTAGGATTGCCAACAGAAGGCAGCGCGAGAGCCAATGTTATATTTCAGCAAAGGGGATTGTATTTAAGCCCTGCTGTGAACAAAGGAAGATCTTATGAATATAATCACCAGGCAGCCAAGTGAAGAAGGGTCCTGATTACCAGCAGTCAGCATTGGTTGGTTTAAAACCAGAAAATGAGGAGTTCTGCTGTGACAACAAGTTTTTGTCACTCCCCTCTCCTTTCCTGTGGCATTCTGGGATGGAACCCCAGCAAATGTCGCACTGGAGTTGCTTGACTGCTGGACCCAAGGGGTAGCTGCTGGCGGAAGTAAAGGGAACGTTGATGACTGGGAAGCCCTGCTCTGAAGGTGGTCTATCTAGGAAAGTTGAGGGTGGTGGTATTGGCAAGGGACATTTTAAGTCAGTGTGAAAACAACCAAAACCCTAAAGTATGTGTGTCTTGTATACTTATGTAATTTTTGTGAAATTATTTTATTTATTTAATGTATTTATAGCCTACTTTTTTTTCCTTTTCAAGGAACTCAAGGTGGTTGACATTCTCCTCCTCCTGCTCTCCGTCTTATCCCCACAAGTACAACCCTGTGAGGTAGGTTGGGCTGAGAGTCTGTGCCTGGCCCAAAGTCACCCAGTGAGCTCCATGGCTGAGCGGGGACTTGAACCCAGAACTCCCGAGTCCCAGTCCTGTGTTCTTAACCACCACACCACGTAAGGGCCGAACACAGATGTGCTTCTTAATTATTATTACCGGGGTGGGCAGATGGTGGACACGAGAGCAGGGGGAAGTAGCTAGCAAGCAGCACTGCAGCGGAGCCGGGACCGTCAAGGCTGCCCGGCCAGCGTTTCTTTAACGGCAAGGGTGCTGATGTCATTTGCTCCCCCAATCCCTCCCCAGGCTGCCCTGTGCCCTCTGAGCTTAGCAGTAATCCTCACAGAAGCTGCAGGAAAATGAATTTCCCCGGCAACAATAGAACCTTTTCAGGTTTTATTTGCGGGGGCTGGCGGTGGTCTTGAATGATGCATTAAGGCGCTTTACTTGCTCTGTGCTGAAGGTGCAGCCTTTGAGTCCCGGTTTCTTGAGGAGGAGCAATGCCGCTGCCTGCATTCTGGGACTCTTCTTGGGGGTGCGGCTGTGCGGACATACCTGCCCTCGACATTTACTGCTGGCAAGGAAAAGATGACACTCCCCTCTTCCCACCTCGCCTCTTGAAGCATCTGGCCTTCCTTGAAAATAACTACTGGATGATAGTTGTATGTCTTGGCATTCCCACAGCTGGAGCCCCACAGAGCCCTTGAGCTGTGGTATAGCTTGCTGCAACATGCTGGGAGTTGTAATCCTGACACATCTGGAGGGCACCGGGTTGGAGTAGCTGGCATGTAGCATGTTGTCTGGCCCTCCGGCCTTGAGGTACGCACATTTCTACAACTGAGATTATGGGAATTGGTTTTTTCCCCCTTCAATTGCTCATTCAGTTTCTGAACATATAGCAAGCCAGTGGTGGGTCGTGCCCCCACAGAGCCATGACGCCAAGCAGGCATGCTTTTCAACAAAGTCTGAGCCATGGAAGCACTCTCCCACTGAATGCATACATGAATCAGTGTTGTATTCCAGGAAATTGTGATTTCCCGAGGGCAAACACTTGCAAATAACCACCATTCAGATATATATGCAAACATAAAGCGAGAGGGGAATAAAAATTGTTCCTTTAGCTCTCCAATTACGTTTTTGTGTCCCTGGAGTCCTGGGATGGATCCAGTTTCAGAAAAGACAATGCGCAGTGGATCATGGCTGCTTTTCTTTTTAATTTGGTTTTGGCTGTCACCCTAGAATAGCTTTCTAATCTTGGGAGGAATTCTGGCACTCAGCCAGATAGGCTGGGGACAAGGGATGAAGGGCAGTGTGCTGGCTGGCAAGCTGAGTGTGGCGTGTGGCATGGTGCCCTGCGGAGGCTTCAGATCTGCCACGTCAGTGTCGGGTCTGCTGCCGCCGAGTGATCATTTTCTCACTTCCTGTACCTGCCTCCGCTTCACTTTCCTCCTCCCTCTTACTCACTTTTAGTTATTTCTGGGTCTTGCTCTCTTTTTCTGGAGATCATCCAGGCATGCATCCGGGCACAGGATGATCAAATAGCTGGGCAGGGGCGTAACAGCAGCTGCACCTCTGTGCTCATACCAGAGAGGAGTTCTTTCCCCAAAGCTGCAGCGCCCTT